GTACGCAAAATATTTTAAAAAGTCTTTATTATAATATTATTTATTGAATTATCTTTAAAATATAAATAAAAAAATTATGAAATAATAAACACATGTCTTTATTAGTATTAATGAATAGCAATTGTAATAAAAATTACTATTATTTATTATAATTGAATTTGGAATAAAATAAATATAGTTAGAGTAAGTTGGTATTATGTTACGAACATATTTGCAGCATGGGTTAGTATTCTATTGTATTTTACAGGCGCCATCTTTTGGTACAAAACTAAATTAAAATGTATTGTATTTTCTAGTACTATACTTCTAATATATTGTTATAATATGTTTTAGTTAATATATATATATATCATTTGCACAAATATATTTATTATTCTTGATGATACATACAAGAACTTTTTGTACTTTTGTAAATTTCGCACTTCTTTTTTTGATAGCAAATAAAAAATATTTTTTTATGGATCACGATTTATCGATCAAAATAAGTTACTTTAAATTATATAATTTCTAAAATATGTCATAATATGTAATAAACTACGCCCCTGTGTTTCGAGCTTCCATAACAGTATTGTAGATGGCGTATCATTCTGACAAGTAAGTGAACCAAAACTGTCAATTAGTGTATTTTTATACAGAATAGTTGACGTATTAATTTGGAAACGTTTAAAAGTATTCCAGTTGAAGTATACAATTATGCTTATCGTGGCCCTAGTATCTTAATAATACGGACATTAAAGAAAACGTTAAGTAACATTGTGGTTATGTGCGTAGTGACACTATACGTCAGTGACATTACTTTAAACAATTGATTTGTGTTCAGTTATTAGCACTTAAGTGTATACTGCGATAATGGAGGATTTCAAAAGTGAATTTGACGAAGCCCTGAACAAAGTGGTTAAAATAAGTTCCATGAAAATACACGACTACAGTGAATACAAGGAAGTGTTATGTCGAGTTGCCAAGGCCAGGAATAATGATTTTAGCGATTCGAAGGGACGAAGACTTGTAAAAATGTACAAAGTTGCGATAATCGATGGGGAAAGTAGGCTTATACCAGCTAATAACGCGAGTACGAGAATTGTATGTTACGTGTACATGGAAGAGATTTATAGCATTTTACAAGAATCGCATATCCGTTTGAACCATGGCGATTGCCAAAGTATGTTTAACGAATTAAAATACAAATACGTAAATATTACCATCGATATTATCCAGTTGTATCTATCATTTTGTAAAGCTTGTCTGCCGAAAAAAAATACCGCCATGAAGAGCTTCGATGAAATTATGTACCAAGAGATGAATTCCAGATGTCGTTTGGATATAATAGATGTTAAGCCTCATTACGACGGAGATTACAAGTACATATTTAGCTACGAAGATTATAAAACAAAATATTGTTTTTTGCGACCGCTGAAGTCTGTGTGTCCAAACGAAGTTGCAACTATAGTTGTCGATATTTTTACCACCATAGGAGCTCCCAACATTATTCAAACAAATCGAGGCTCGAAATTTACATATACTTTGATTCAGCTGTTAACCGAGATGTGGCCTTATCTTAGAATACTTCCTGGAATGTCGACGCACGATGATAATGAAAGTATTAGGAATCTAATCTTCAAAAATCACAAGGGCAAAAAAACATTTGGCGATTATCGATGGACACAAGTACTGGGCTTCATACAGATCAAGAAGAATCGTTCATTTAACGCGGATATACAACAAACGCCTTTTGAAGCGATGTTCGGCCGAGCCGTGAAAATCGGTCTCATTGATTCCGTTGTAAGCAAGAAAGACATCGCCTCGCTTAGAACCGAAAACGATTTGAGAACAGTGCTTTGTTCGTATGTTAACGAGAAATGCACATTGCTCAATAAAAGTTCAGATGATGAAATTGAATCTCCCGCTAAAATTTCACAAGTTGCAACGGTCGAAGATGAAGAAGGAAACAATAATAAAGATGATACCAAGATAGAAGGAATCAAGAATGAAACGCAGCAGCAGGTGAAGACAAGGAAGTCTGGATATTTCATAGGAAACGAGGTGGGGAGCGACAAGGATAGTAATAAGAAAACCAAAAGAGATGCGAAAGAATACGACAAAATTGCGAAAGAGGTGCTAAATAGTCCTGGACAGAGGGGCAGGAGAAAGAAAATAAAATTGCAAGAAATTGAAATTGGTAAAGATATTGAAGCAGTGTTTATCAATGAACAACCGCCGGTTCGAATAAGCAGTCATACTGTAGACGATCCATTGATCGTGAAACGACATACTAGCAGCAATTTAAGGAACAATAGAATTCTTAACAAAGGCAACGATGATAGATTTTACAAAAAGAATTATAATTTGATTAAAGGAATAAAGGATCCTGTAATAGTAATATCTGAAGAGCAAGAAATGCAGAAACATATTAATAATATCAAGATGGATCACTCATATATGAGAAGCATAATAGATGATGTTATGGCTGCAAGTGATAGTATGGATATAGATAATGCCGAAGAAGCGTTAGATGATTCTAACATATCATGTATTAAAACTACAGAGGATATTGAGAACTTTATATTTGCAAATACTGTAGATAAAGGAGCGGCCTTTAAAGCAACCAATACAGTAAAAAGTGAAGTTACCAAAGAACTGAAAAAACCCACAAAAGAAGAAGCGTTTGATTTGGAATACGGAGGTAAAAAGAAGGATGACCGATTCGAGATTCAGACAGCACCTGATAATTTTATAAGTTGCACAACAAAAGTTGAATTTGTCCCAGATCGTCAATCATTAGAAGACAATCCAAATGCCGAAGTGATTAAGAAGATTAAGTTTAAGCGAATTCAAACAGTGACATTAAATAAGCAAATCACAAAACGGGTGACTAGAAGTAGTACGAGAGCACTGAACAGCAACAAACCTGCCGAACCTAGCATCAATTTGCGGGTGACAAAATTCGATTCAAAATATCGAAACAAATCTAAAAAGTCGAATAAACCTGATGAAAAATGCAAGGACCTGATTAGTCTGAAAAAGAATAAGCCTAATATGGAATATACGTATGCTAAACGAGGGAAACATGTGAAGAAGGAAATAATAGAAGATGTTAAACCGGTGTTAGGCGAGATTGAAAGCATAGTACCTGACATAGATTTGAAGACTTTCCAGAGTATCCAGAGTTTGCAGCACACTATAACGCCGAATGGGAATATGGCCATACCATTCGATAGGAATGATGATGTCGACGAAGATTTGTGTATTTATGGACATCTCATTGATCCAATAACAGGTGAATCGACGGTCGAGCAATATTTCGTTGGGTGTTCGTGTCCAACAGATTGCAAGAATAATAAAAAGTGCCCGTGTAAACTGAAGTCGATGTTGTGTAATGTTAAATGTCACAATGCTGAGGAGTGCAAAAACTAATGTTTTATTTATATAATAAGCATGTTTAAATTTTGTTCAATGATATTTATTTTTATTTACTACGTTTGTGATCTTTTTATTCTTTAATGAATGAATTAATATTTTTTTAATCAAAGTTGAATATATATATTCTATATTTTTTGTAATCTTATTTTCATTGACAAAAATTCCACACATTATCCCCCTTTAAATTTCTCATTCGCCTTAATTTTTCTTATTGCATTTATAATTTATGGAAAAATAAACATCAATTATAAATTTGCTTATTTCAACACCATAAAATAAAAACAAACATCAACTGTTTATATTTTATATATTTTGTAAAAAAATGTTCTATGCAAAAGACGGCTTCCGAAATTTCATTTATTTACAAAGAACTTCATTGCAGACATTTGATATTTTGGTGATTCTTTTTTTTAATTGTTTTTTTTGTTGTGTTCATTATGCTTCGACAAAAGTTATTATTAACCAAATTGCTACAAAGAGTTTATAACATTTATTCAATACATTTAATGCAATTTCAATGTATTTAAAAGTTTTATTGACTTTTATTTTGAAGTTTTTTTCTTTCATTTCACTGAAGAATTGATTTGACTTTTAGTAACAATTAAAATCAAATAAATTCCAGAAATAAAATAACGACAGAGAAGAAAATAGAAATATATCAGACCAGCAGGCGAAAGGTTACGCTGATAATAGAAAAGAATCTGTGGAACTGAAATAGAACACACTTCTTATTTATATAATGATTTATTATCACGTCTTAAGAAAAAAACAGTTTATTCGAGACAGCGTTGAAATTGAACTAAAGTAAAATGAACACACTATCACTATTTGCTCATTTCTTTGATTCTTAGCCTAAATAAACATAAATTATATGGCAAACTTATACAGCCTCTGCAAAGCCGACCCTGTTGTTGCCCATATCAAATTCAGTGTAAAACTTCCCGATGAAAACATCACCCAAGATCCACAATGGTCCATTCGGTGGCGGAATATCGATACCCATGAATCCGGAAAGGCAGATGGTTTTGCCCATTTGAGCGACCTACATAAAATGTAAAATAAAAGACAAGTTATATGAAGAATTTCCGTAAATATTGACGTTGACTCACTCTCAATACGTAATCTTTAGCTTCCAGCGTGAAAGTTTTGCCGGCCATTACGAAATCGATGGTTGGTAATTTTGGAATCAGGGTGCAATCGATCATGTACTCTCCACCGACGATGGGTGTACCGCCGATCGCTTTGTTGATAGCGGTGATTTCATCTAAAGGACCTGCGATAAGACTAGTACCGGTATCGGCAATTGCTTCGCATCCTTTGGCGCAGAACGTCTTGTCGCCGATCTTGACTTTGTCCATTTTGAATTGCCAGTAGGCTTTCCTATCGACATCCAAGTACGTGAACTCGCCCTTGTAGTGTGCCGGATCGGAACCACCAAAGATAATTTCACCACCATCGGCGGCTTGCGGGTCCCTGAATATAGGAATTAGCATAACTGATTTAAATGCATGTGCGTTAATGTCTCACCTGTTGAGGTAGAATGAGAAGATCGGATCGGAAATCAAGCCTTGAGCAAGCATATTATCGAAAACTGGAGGAACACCGTCAACGGCAATGTTGCTGTAACCCATGCCGAGAATACCATCGAATTTGGCAGCGACGAAAGCTAAACCTGGTTCGCTCATGGCCTCAGCGAATGTTTGATCTTTAACATCCATACCGCCAAGCTATAACAAAGAAACATTTAATATGTAATTCAATAAATATCAATGTAATTTACGTTGACAATATCGGTAGACAAAAATCCGCTCAAACTTCCTGAGCCATAGTGGATGGCAAAATCGGTACCGTTAGCTTTGTATGTCTTGGAAGCCATAGAATCGTATTTGTTGTGCAACACTGAAAGATTAAATATAATTTTTAATTATTTTATAACTGGTGGTGCATCGTATGACTTACAGCAGGCAATGTTGGTGAAATGGCATTTCTTTGATGGCACCCATAGATTGGAAGAACCGGTATCAAAAACTACCTTGAACTTTTGCGGAGGATTTCCAATAGAAATTGGTCCGTAATATTGGGCCTGAAAAAGAAAAGGAATTGTTAAACGTTGTACGCTCGATCAAATATGAAATATCAATTGATATAGATGAGCAAAGGATGTAAAAAAAACCTGAGTAAACATTATTTGAATAATATGTTTACTCAGGTTACTACAGATACATAATATCAATAGTGTGATTCTTCTTATTTTTTATTTATTTTTTTGAAGACTAACTAACGTGCACATTATGTACGTTAACTATAAATCAGGGGTGGCCATGTATGTATCAAAATTTCACTATTTGTTTGAAAACGTCACAGATATTTTCATTGTCACTAGAAGACACAACAATGAAAGAACATTGTTTACATGTTTGATTACTAATGTAATGTATTTTATTTAGAATTACAGTAGTATTAAATAAATTACGACTTACGAATTAGTTGTAATGTTCCTATTGTTAATGTACACTGATGCAACATTATATCTAATCTGCTTAAGTCTTTATTTCATCATATATTATTTGATGAATATTGTCAAATATTTTAGATCGTTTCTTAACACACTAATAACATGACAAGTTAAGATTGAATTTCATTAATAAAATATAATTTTACATGAGGTATCATAATTGTATATGCATTATATAACGTGATCTAATTGCAATAGTCAATAATGTTATGCATTATCAGCCAAAGCAATATATACTAATACTTAGAAATACAATAATTTAAAATATTTAAACAAAGATAGTCAAACATTCCAGTACAACTTAAAATTCAAACGATAAATGGAAGTTAGCAAATATGTGTTGCTGGTAATGTTATAAATAGTTTATTTTATCTACTCTTGGTAACAAAAAACAACGATTTGTGCCAATGAATAAAACGTAAATATTATTTAAATGTACCATGTCTATATTTATTGCTGTAAAATATAATAATGTCATATAAATTATATTGATTTTTCACAATATAAGAAAGTTAATCATAATTGAATGGTTACTTTGTCAATTAAGTGTGCCTTAGGTACTGATTAGGCAATGTTTTTTAAATATTAATATTAAATAAATACATTTGTAAAGAAATCGAAGGCATAATAAATGTACACATCATGATAATTTAAGTCTGTCGCGGAAGTTTAACTAAAAAATGTTGAAAGAAAAACCCGAAGTTCTACGTTGCAACAGAAAATAATAAAAACTTAGCCTTTTATTCTGAAATAATTATGACATTAAGTAAATAAAAGTAAAATACATTAATCATTTCTAAATGTATTCCATTATATTATTTTTTTTATATAAAATGATGACATGAATCATATTCAGCGATAACATTCTTAACCACAAGTCAATCTTCATAAGGATCTTTGAAATGAAGTTAAAAGAATAAAATTATATAAAATGAGAATAACATACGAGTATTTCTTTTATACACAAAAGAAAAAACATTGTCAACAGTTAATATAGAAAAACATATCCATATAATTATATTGACAAAAAATATATTATTTGGTCAGTAAATTATTTTCGCCAATTATTATATAAATCATACATAACTGATAAAAAAAAGAATTATTTTGTTGTTGATGCAATTTAATTGGTTGCATGGTTGATGGAATATTGAGATCATCAACAATATCAGTTACATATACCAACAAGTTTTATAATAAACAGATAACAAAGTAAAAAAATATATTATAAATGTATTGCTTCGAATTTTCCAATAAAATAAACTTTACGTGTTTACATAAAAAAAATAGACGTTATCTATATTTTTTTGTAATAATTTTTTTTAGAATTGTATTTTATAAAAACAATGTATACAGTGGAACCTCGCTTAACGAGCAAAAATAATTTTAAGAAATATGACTCGCTTAACGAGCGACGATGAGAAAAGAAGTCCCGGATTGCGCGCCTGCTACATCAATTTAAAAACATGTGTTTCACTATACGAGTAAAAATCCGGATTAAACTCGCTAAGCGAGGTATCACTGTACTTCTAATGTACAAGATAAAGTAAAGTAAATAATTAGAGATATGGAAAAGTTCTATATTATTAATATACCAATTTGTAATTTGTAATTGTCTTCTAAATGACAAAATAATATTAAATGATAAACCAATTCATTGTTTTTTTATTGAAATCATCAAAAATTATACAATTGATAATTAAATAAAAATTCCAAGGTGTTTTATTATCATACAGCATTCAATTAACGTTTTTCTTTGTGTTGGTCAGCCATCTTACAAAAAAAAAACATTTGTTACCAATGTTTTATATATATGTAACATTTTGTTATTACAATTATCGCATAATATAGTTAACAAATTATTGGATTTATGATAACATTAAAGCAGTTTGTGTATACTCTCATATTACGCAATAACTTAAATAACTGGTCATTATTATTTAACAGATCTTAGTAAATAAATGTACTTACATCCATATAGTTAGATAACGGTTCAGGTTGCGGGCCCCCATATCTGAACTGCACTTGCTGAACGTGTGTTCCGACCTCTTGCAAAGTCCTCCTGGATGATTTGTCTTTGATTAAAGGTACTCTGCAACGTAAATATATGATATACATAAACTATAATTATGATCGTTGTTAAAGAACAGCGGTGATTCTGCAAATTTAACATGACGCTGCCGTTCTGTAAGTTGACGTTAAACAAATAGGGAAATAAACAAGGTTCATTTCCAAAAATAAATGATAATTACCTGACAAAAGCTGAGCTAACGGCGTAAATCGTAGCCAGTAAAAAGAAAATTGAACTTAACAGACGCATCGTGATGTTCTGTTCTTTGAATACAAACTCAAAAGCGAAGTGACGACCTTCTTTAAAGGTCTAGCAATATATTGATCTCGTTGCACACGTAAAAAAAATATTGTGACTGATAGAAGAATGAATCAGCCGGATAAACTTTTTGACATTACATCAACACAATAACAACTTGTCTTTCTTTTTGTTATGGTTTTCATTGCTACCAACCAAAAATAGTTTAGATGTTTTGAGCACAAATCCGATGATGAGCGAACGTACTCGATACTATTTCAAGCAGGGTTTGAATTTAAAAATTCCCTACTGAGCGGAAACTGACGAAATTGTGCGCGGCACAAGCTAAATGAGAAAGGTGGTAGAAGGAAGAAGCATTCAAAAATAATATTACAAGAATAATCACATAACAATGCATAAATAATTACAGATAACAAAGTGTGAAACTATAATTAAATCAAACTTAAGTATTTCTCTCCTCAAAAATAATAATTATTTTAATAAAATTAAATTTTAATGAGTTTTAATATAAAATTAATTAATATTTTATGTGGTCTCTTCTTTAAATTTTAAATGTTATATGTGAAAATGACCATGGCAAATGTTGTTCAGGCAGGTTCATCACAATGGAAAAATTAAAAATCATCAGACACTCTTTGTAGCGTGAAGGTCAACAATAGCGATTACAATTGTATAATCGACATTATATTTTGTGATATCACTTTTCAACGAAATATGAAATTCCGACCATTTTTAAATAAATATTTAATGAAAGATTCTTTCGACTACTTTTTAAGATAAAAATAAAAGTATAAAGATTTGTTTTTTGTGAAATGAGGAAGGTTTTTAATGATAAAATTGTTTCACTATTTATAATAAATATAACATGGTATATGGTAAATGGTATTCTGCAAAACCAGAGACTATTAACTTCAATAACAAGGCTAATACTAAAAAAAATGTAGTCTGAATGTTTATAAATGTATTTTAATCCAAACCATCAGGAGCCATAGGCTAATATCTTTTGGTGCAAACATTATTTGGGGGTCCTATACTTATATTATTGGAGCTAACTCTGTTTGGGAGCCTTGCACTAACATTGTCTGGGGCCCTCTACTAACACTGCCTGGGGCCCCCAATTAACCAAACATTGGTGCATTAAACTTGAAAATGAAACATGCGAGTGAAGACAATGACATGTTATAGTGTATTAGTAGAAATGGCTGAGTAACCTGGGGCGCAATTAGCCATGGTCTTTATGGTTTGCAGCCCAGGGTTTACTTAAAAAAATACAACTAAGTTCGTGTCATTTTTAATTAGCATTGTCTTCACTCACATGTTTCATTTTCAAGTTTAATGTTTGTTTGGAAATGAACAAATTGATTGCAGTACATATATTGGATATCAAAATAGTTAAGCAACAGATAGTACTTGGATTGGTGATTTTTAATAATATTGATAAGTATTAATTTGATTTTGTTCATGGTAGAAACAATAATTTTGTAATAACCAATACAGATATCAAATTAATAAACCTGTTTATCTTTGTTTCATTTATCTAGTAATATGTATTATTACTACAACATTTAAATACAAAGTTTATATTGAAATAAACACCTTATTTTGTAACATTTATAAAATTAGGTAATTTTATGATTTTGATTCGTTTATTGTACTTTTTACTTGGAAATAGAAATAACAAAATTATATTATTTGAAAAATTTATATATAAATTAAGTATTTTCAGTGTATTAATATTAGCATAGATTTTGTAACATATTTTTTACTTTCAATTCTTTCATGTATAATAAATATATTTAATCTCTATAATGATGTATCTCAAGTATAACAATTATTAACAAAAAAAAACGATCAAAATAATATTTTTATTGTCAACTTAAAAAAAGCTTGAATTGTGGCATAAAATTAAAGCAAAAAAAAAATTAAATTAGTATGTGCATGCTTAAGAAATTTGATGGAAACATTTAATAAATCTAGATTTTTGAAGACGTTATAAATCACTTAGATCCACAGATTCAATGCCTTTGGTGATTTTAGGTTCACTACTAGTTTCATTTGATTCTGGTACATTTTGTTTATTAATAGCAACATGCAAATCCTTCCAGGTACCAGGTGAATGCTTCTTCAGCTTTATTTCAACTTTAGTGCCAAACATTGTCACATTGCTCTCCTTAACATTGCAAGCCTAAGGATTAAAATCTTTATAATAATGATCTTTGAACTAATTATAATTAATATTACCTCACACAACTCCAAGTTAAGATCAAAGCAAGATGAATCGCCTTCTTCAAAGACCAATTTTATATTTAATTGAAGAGGAGCCAATTGGATTTTGCTTAATGTAGTTGAATAATTCTTGGCGTAAATGGACATAATTACATGTGAGCCAGTTTGGAAATAGTCCCATCTGCAATTAACATTTGTTGTATTTTTCTAAAAAAAATATATAATTAAATGCTAGATATAATTTTCAATATATTTAACATACTTTAATCCAGACATGTTCCCCTTTGGCACATCCAGCATGTTTCAACATGGCTTCAAAATCCGAATAATATTTTGGGCAGCATGACCAGTACTTAATTCCTTCATGGAAAATGGGATAACCTTCATGGTAGACGCAGACAGTCTTATTTGTCTCAGGGCCTTCATATTTAACAGAACAACCCCTGTTCTTGCAAGCTTCACCAATTTCAACACCATCAACACCTGTACTTTTCTTCTTGCTTTCTAAGGTATCCAGCTGCTTTTTCAAAGACTCTGCTATCGTTGGTACCAAATCAACCTTAAATTAATATATTTAAATGTCTATTGCAAATGTAATAATTATAGCAAATATGTACAAGATTTGAATGGAAAGATTTCCTTTCAGCTTTAGGAGGCACTATTGGCTTTGGGGTTTCCTGTATTTTAGGTTCATCAACTTCCACCGGTTTCTCTTCACTGACTGGTTTGATATTTGAGTGTTTAGCTAATTGGCATCCCTTTATGTTCAGGAATTCTGTGAAATCTGTGGTCCTCTTCTTGCAGCAGGACCAACCTTTAAGGGCGTCATGGAAAACAGGTGAACCAGTGTGATGGCAGCAGGAATCTACAAACATAGATTGCATTAGCTGAAAATTATTGATTCACGGTTAAATCACATTACCATCTGCATTTTCTTCAGGCTTATATTTTTGTCCGCAGCCGAAATTGTAGCATTGGAGTAATCCGTCGTTAGCTGACATTGTTTTGTGCGTTTCGTTTAATAAATTAGTGATTTTTTGAATGGACTTTAGATGATATAAAAGCGACAAAAATCACGATAAAATTAGGTTATGTTAGCGAATGCAACCCAAATGACTTAACAGCATTCTATAGTTGCCTATAGTCTTAATATTTTTTCATTATAATTCTTCATATTTATTAAAATTAACTAAATTTGAGAGGTCGAAAAACCATCAATCAATTACCGTAAACACTCTTATAACGCGGTATTCTTATAATGCGGTTTCCACATAACGTGAAACAACAATTGCGACAAGTCTTTTATAACGCGATTTCTATATAAATTATCTATTTTGGGAAGAGACTAGAATCTAAATTAATATGTTTTATGCTAATTCTGATGTTCTTATAACGCGGTTTCCATATTTTGCGGTACGAATTAATCGCGTTATAATAATAGAGAAAATTTATTGTATAACAACATACATACCGTAATCTTTCCGCTCATTGATTATAAATTATTAGTAAAGTAACAATTGATAGTTGTTTTTTATAGCTAAAATATTTTATAATTATTTACTTAATGTTACTATTTACATTCACGATGAAATTACCTTAGGTCTGTAGGAATTTTTCTTGTAAGAGGTCATCTTTTGTAAATGCATAAATACTATTTACATATTTATATTTATCAGTATGTGTCTATTATATTGATAATTTATTAAATTTTCAGCTAATAATAAATCAAATATAAGTATTATGAAATCAAATAATTAATTTACAGATGTGTTAATTACATTTACATATTTAGAAAGTATGTAATAATTGTAATACTTACATAGCGCCGGATTCATGTTTCGAAATGACCTAGACTGAAATATTACTGTCTCTTCAAAGAATAATTTTATTGTAAATATTGTAATAAATAATACAAATAAAAATGTATTTATATAATCTTAACTAAATAAAAACAATTAACTGTTACAAAAGCTATCAAGATAATTTGTATTAATTTTTAAAGTAATGTTTACATTTCAATTATTTATATTCAAATTTTAAAATAAGTAAAAACTGAGTCATTAAAATACAAGAAATGTTTAATATTTATAAAATAATCAGATTAAGGTTTTTTTTTTGCATTATCGAAATCCCGATAACCGACAACTTAAATCTCGTCAACCATAATTCCGACATTGTTAAAATTCCGACAACCATAATCCCGATAAAACACAGGTTTTATTCTAGACAATAAAATATCGATGTTCATTTATATTCAAGTAGTAAGTAATAACGTTCATTTTTAATGTATTTTCAGTATCGTGATTTTAACCCTCTATTACATACTGTTCCCAAATATGAACTTAACATAATATCGATATAATGAGATTTTGCAATTGATATTTCTGTAGTTCATTCATGGAGTTACTCTTTGGAAACTTAATATATGTAATAGTATATAACACTTAATCCCTGGTTGTATGGTTATTGGTATTTTGTTCCGAACCCTAGCATTATATATTAGTTTATTGGATCAGGGGAAAATTAAGGCATTGTGTTTATTTGAAAAATCGATATTTTGATGGAGATACTCGAAACATCTTGCTCCTTTCATCAAGTACTGTCCAAAGTTTAAACAACAAGAGAAGTGGGGCTAATTGAATGTTGCTTGGAAAACTGTTTCTATATGAATTTGTTTTTTTTTCAAGTATAAAATTTTATTTTATTTAAATTCATAAAAATACCTGTGTGATATCTTATAAAACAGAAAGTACTAAAATATTATATTATATGTAACATTTATGCATGTTTACTGATATAAAGAGGATACATTCCAAAGTATTTTGTACGAAAATACTAAATATTAGTTACTAGAAATATAAATTTCACTTCTCAATTATGTAAGTGTCATGTATATCTTAGATATTCTTTAAAAATGTTGATACATGTCGACAAATTATGTCGTTTCATGTCATGTGCCAAAGAGAAAAAAATAGAAGTGATGAGAGGCAATTTGCATAATGCAGTACATTATCTTGATGTTTTGTGGGTTTCGGCCAATTTTATATAAAACTTTATATTAAAGTTTCTTAAAACACCCCAGATTCAAAAAGCAAGTATTAATTAAATTACACAAATCTGGATGTTTTAATATTTTTTTTTTAAATTTCGTTATAATATGTAAATTTTGTCCGTTATTACCATTACATTTATGTATATATTTACAGTATTACCGATTAATGTAAATACAGAGTAAATATGCTTATAACTAATATACAAGAACTAAAGGTACATTTTCAAAATATCAAGACTATATTAATACACAGTTGTACCATGATAAGCAAAACGATTTCGTTTTCAGATGTAAAATTACTTATGTCTTGAAATAGTTTTTTCGTAAAGAAATTAAAATTAACTTTTTTTGAAGAATGAAAAGTTGTCAAGTGATATCTCATTTTGAAATACGAGTCTAAAGTTAATTGTTTATAATATATTGCCTATGATTCCATGACAAAGCAGAACAAGATAAAACAAAAAAAAAAACAGTGATTAAACAGAACTTCGGAAAACAATATTAAAGTTCAAGCAAAATAGAAATAAACAAATGATACAGATTGAATGTAACATTAATTATAAATGTATGTATTTAGATGTGTTATTTATATAATTTTATTTTGTTTTGTCATTTGTTCTTTTTTAGAGCTGTTCTGGTTTGTCCATTCTGGTCACCATAGCCTATAATGAGTTAATCAGGGTCATATTCATTCAATAAATTGTTTTCAATGTTATTTAAACACCTTTGGTTGTTAAATTTAATTTGTCTTTTTTCGTTGCTAAAAACCATCAATAAATTTCTAACATTCTCTTCATCGACATTTTCAAAACCTATTAATGAAAGCATCTGGATAACTTCAATTCTATCTTTTGATGCTATTTCCTTGTTAAATGTAATTTTAACTGAGGTAAGAATGTATTTGTAATTAAAGTTTAAAGAAAATAGTATTTACTTAATTTAATCAGTAAAATTATTTATCATTCGTGTGATATTTTATAGTTGAATTATCTAGATTGTAATGAACTAAAAATGTGTTTGTTTTTTTCTATTTTTCACTCTTTAGTATATCAAATGTAAAGCAATATACTATTAGTGGCCAACTTGTTTAGTCAAAAGTCAAGTCAAAAATTTATTTATTTAAATGTAGATGCATATACATGGTGTTATTTAAGGGGTGGCGTATATGTGAGCTTAAGCTCATTTAGCCCAACTTGTTTATTTTGAGATAGACTTTTAAACTTGATACGTTATTAAGTGAAGACTCAACCTATAATAAAATCTTTTAGGTACACACGAAATTGAAAGTATCTAGTAAAACAATCCACTTCTCATACTTAGATATAAATAAGAAATTGTAAAAAAATTGTGTGAAGCAGATTATTAAAATATTTGTAATTGAATAATTATATTACATTTTTATTTAATGTTTTAAATGTATATACAATGCAATGTATATATGAAATTAGATATGTAACAATATTTCATTTAAAGCTTTTGATTATACTTGAATATACTTCCATATTTCATCATGTGTTGATTGCAAATCCTTTATGTCCATTATAAGACGATTAAAGTTAGTAATTGGAAATTAGACTCATTTATTACTCACATCTAATTATACAATGAGTATTCTATTTTCATTGTGAACAAGTAACTTAATATGTGATCGACAATAGAAGCTATTGTTGATCACAATTCCATTATGAAGTTGACATTTGCTTTTCACCATAATTAAATATAGGTTTAGTAAAAGTATAGTAATGTCCTTTTACTGAGCGTAACAAGTTGTTTGTCCACTATGACGACGTGAAAATAAATATAATTGGATATGAGGAAATTCGATTCACGAATCCAAGAGTCATTTGTTATGTAGCCACGAGCGGTGTAGATTTATAGCGGTGCGCGAAATATATTTAGTTTATTAACTTTATAAATATACGAAATATGTAGTGGACTAATTTTGATTTGGCATGTTACCAATAATACCCCGAACAAAGGTACGCACACGTATGAAAAGTGGCGACACACGAGTCGCAGAAAAACACACAGAAAATTCATAATAACTTTATTGATGTAATAAAGCTGCAAATGTAGGTACAAATATAAATACATAGAGTTCTATTAATATACAGTATATATGTTTCATTATTAAATTGGCATGTCAGAAGCGAAAAATCGATGTCGATTAAAAAAATATGTCTCAAAAATATCGTTTGTGTTCTTTTTTTTTGTTTTCATTTAAGCGGCTCAATTCGTTCTAGAAAAAATCATCACAAAAATATTAAAAAAAAAATAAATAAAGATATGTACATCTTTAGATTATTACGTGTAAATTCGAAGTTATATATTTTTTTTTGTAATTTTATGTTTTTTTTATGTTCTTTTTTTGTTTGGTAAGCGTGGTGTTAGTTCGAACATCTTCAGCATCCATCGGTATCACAAAAATTTAATGTATAGCACTTTTTTTTTAAAGCTAAAGAGTTTGATTTCTGCTTTTACATGACCGGATGGTGTTCGTAGTATTGCGTGCCCGGTGGGATCTTGTATCCGGGATAGGTGCAGTTGAGCGAGTGCTGAGCGAAGAAGGAACTGTAGTCCTTGGCGATGCGCCTGGGTCTGCACGCTGGTCCTTTGGCTAACTCGATGGCCGCCTGTCTTTCAGCCTGCATTTTGTCTTTGACATCTTCTGGAGGCCACTTAAGGTCTCCGCGAAGATTCTTACCTCCTGAAAAACAATCAATACATTAGAAATGTTGGATTGATGAGGAAAATTGACTCACCCTTTAAGGTCGCCGTGGCTGGTTGTGAGGAGAACACTGGGGCCGGTGCCTGACTAATAGGCACTTGAGGTCTCAAGGTGATGGTGCTCGGTGGTGGTTCGAAGTGCTTGGTAGGTTGGATGGGCTGTTGCACAGTTTGCTGCAAAGTATCGAGTTAAATCAATCGCGTAATCCACGAGCGCTCGTTCGAATTAATCGGTTATTACCTGTGGAACAACAGGGGTTTGTTGTTGCACTGGAGGGGTTTGAGGATTGGTGAATTGTTTTGGTGGAGCGGTTGCTAGAGGTGCTTGAACCGGCTTGATTTGCGGAGACTGCGGAGAGTTGCTGTATTGAATCGGGATTTGGAACTCCCTTGGTTGCTGATTGGATCCCGGTTGTGGAGAGGTTGGGGAGAGAACCGGAGCCCAGGGTTTTGTAACCACGGATGGGCTAAAATTAGTCGGCCTCTGCTGATTAACGGGGATAGGAGATGCTGCGGAGTTGTTAACAACTACAGGGGATTGTGGAGCCGATCTGTTTAGTGGCGTTCCTGGACGCGCTTGGTAGTTATTGGTAACCGGTGCCTGGTGGATGTTATTAGGAGATTGACTCTGCAAGCCGGGTGTCTGATAAGAATATTCAGCCCCGCCCTACCAAAAAAGAGAGAAGAGTTCGAATCAGCAAAAAAAAAGTTTTTTTTTCAGTTACAATCATCCGTTAGTCTTGTAAATAACTGATCGCTCACCTGGGTTGGCACAGCTTGATGCTCGGTGTATTCCTCGCCTTCGGATTCCTTTGGTGGTGGCCAAGCGACCCTCTTAACACCTACAATATTCAAATGAATCAATCACTAATTAAAACCAACTGCTTAATTAAACGGATTGCTTTCTAAATACAACTAAAAAAAGCTCGCGCCACAAAAAAAGAAACAACTATTTCCAACTACTATTAAAAGTATCGTTGAGAACGGATGCACAAAGTATATGCAAAATTAGAACACCTGGTGCTGTGAGGTACCAAATTTCAAATTAGGCCCGGCCATGCGCCCAGAATTTTCCGCGGAATGCGCACGATCACATTAATTTCTTTCACGATACCATCAATTTGGCACCGCATCCACCTTAACTTTTTTTTGTATGTTCGCTCTTCTATTTTACGTACACCGTGTTCTTTCTTGGCTCCTCAACACTTGAGTCAGATGATACCTCACGAATATAAAAAAAAAGTTTGCAATACTTTTAAGGCATCCCTCAAAAAGAAGAGAAGAAAAAAAAAGGAGAAAGGAAAGAAAAAAAAACGAAAAAAAAAGATTTACAACATCGAGAAAATCTGATACCTGAGACTACGATGTCTTTGAACTGTCTCGGTCGGTTAGCGTTTGGCGGTGGCCACTGCCGAAGTGGTTTGCACCCTGCTACCAAGATCTCGATCAGGATTCATGACGAAAATATGTGTATGCATATGTATCATAATATGAATGGAGGGGTGCGTACGAAATCTATTTTTAGGACTATGTCACCAGTGATTTATTGCGCGTGTTTACGTCGTTCAAGGTATGGATGATGTTTAGTAGGTCAGTCCGAAGATCATATGTCACACAAACACTCATACTAAATACACTCAAACTACATGAAAAATGGTGCAGGTATGAAATGCAAAGTGTATTATTTAATAGATTATGTTTCGTGAAAGAAGATATTTAATGAGAAACAAATTCATTACCTCTCTGTTTGCTCTCCTCTTCTTCAAGCATACGGAGGACAGCGGAGTTGTGGAGATTTGCTGGTTTCGATACCATTGGGTTGTTGAAATTAATTCTGTAAAAGTTAACAATATTAGTTCAATATTCAGTATTTAGAATATTTTTACAATTTTAGATATTTTTAACTTTAAAATATATAATTATACTGCAATAGTAAATTATTTATACAAAGAATTACTTACAAAAAAGCAAACTTATTTTTGTTGTTTTATTTGTAATAAAACGTGATCAATATATATTAATTAAAATGATTTAATAATTATGCCAAATTTACTCACAAATATTTTTTTTATTATTATTTTATTTTCATTTTATTTCTATTTTTTTTACAATATCGATTTTGTCATTGCAAAAAATGTTTATTTCCATTAATCAATTCTTCAATTTAATCTTCAGATAAAATTATATTTTATAAATAGTATAGATTTATCTCTTAAATATATATTATGAAAAACAAAAATATTACAGTCTTAATATAAAGAATAACATCATTGTTCAATAGGTGAAAATAGTCATCCTTCTTTTGAAACTACACCATGAGTCAAAAGGTATTTTTACTGTAAGGTCATTCGTTATTTATATGTGTTTCTGCGATAGACATAATCTCTAGACATCTATCACTATGTAAATTAAACGTGATATTTATTTCGAATTGGAAGGTCTCCTTTTTTTAAATTTTTCAGTCATCATTTAAAATTTTGTTTACCTATATATTTTTGTTTCTTAATTAATGAAAATACTCATTTTAAATTTCTATTTCAGGTGTTTACACATAAAAGATATATTTTTATTGAATACTCTAGTTTTTTTTTGTATATTCAATAAGAATTTGGAAATTCCAAATTTATAGTTCATTTTCCCTATCAAGTGAAATATTGTTGATATACATGAGTTCATAAATTTGGGGAATTCATTGCAAATAAGTAGTGAATCCGCACTGATCAAAGCAGCACTATGAGAGGTATCAAGTACAGCATTTGGTAGATGACAAATAACAAATCAAAGATATTGACTTCTTAAGTATTACTGTTTAGCGTTTTTACACCACAAAACGTTTTTATAGCACTGCGAATTCAAGTTTTTTTGTGGACCAGTAACAATATTGTTATAGTTGCTGGCAGTTGAGAAACGCTGGTATAGATAAAAGTTTATCAATTTTTATTTCTCAACTTCATTTGAAGCTAATAATAATATATTATTAAACAATAATTAGAATATTAAAAGATCTTGCTGCCAAGAAAGGAAAACATTTTTGATTAATACCTCGCATAGTGCGGTTTTGCCAATGTTTCGAACTGTATAAAACAGGACTAATTGAGGATTTTCAAAAATCACAAAAAGGCTTATCTGTTAAAATAAGTTCAATTAAAATTTAGTTTGTTTTATATTTTTCAAACTATTGCTTTACAATTCACATATTTTTGGTCCATATTGTATGTAAAACCTTATGTTACAACTTTTTATGACTAAAATTGATTTTAAAATTTCATATAAATTAGTGATCGGCTTAAAATGCAATAGTTTCACAAAAATATCAAAATTAAATATAAATGTAACATCTAGCAATTAAATAAAGTACATTTCAAACTGAAACGTGTCTTCAGCGTTGAAGAAAACTATATATTTTAATATATATTCCGAAAAGTCTATTATAAGACAGTTTATTAAACGGCGTTGAGTGAATGAGTAAAACATATGTCATGTGCATCTAAACCATTAATTTTGTTTCAAGACTTAACGCTTATAAATAGAATGCGCACACGATTATAACATAATAAATTAAAATGTTATTGTATAGATGTGCAATATAAAATATGTTTATGTAAACAACGTAGATGGGTGAAGGTGGAATGCTAAGAAGAAAAAGAAAAATCAAATATTTACGCGATCCGTTTCGTAATGTGATACATAAACTTTTTAGAGGCCAATCACCAAAATAAATGATCTTCGTTGATGCCACGTCACCGCCGTACCCGGAGGACCTATACATTTGAGAGCGTTCCAAATCCAGCTCCTTTGTTATCACCTTCCAATTCCGAAACTTTATGACTTAGAACAACCACTACATAATTCCATTGGCATCAGTTTCCACGTTTATTTCCATCAATAATATTTACAGCTTCTGTTCCCAAACTATAAAAAAATGCTTCGCCCAACATGTTTACGAGATGTGAAAAACACAATTTTGTGTAAAACATGACTGGATAATGTAATAAAAAGAAGCAAAATATGAATGGCTATTGCCATAATCTAGTGATTCATGTGAGCAGATCCGATCAAGTGGATGCGCTTCCATCCAGAATAAGTAAGCACGCGATGAGCCGAAATGGAATGCCGTTAAGGAAGTGTGACGATGAAGTGTTTAAATATAGCTTTTCACGTTTCACGAAAAGCAAATAAATGGTTTCGGAATTACGCTAATTGGCGTCCATCGTGGCCAAAACAAATACGGAGGCCGTATTAAGAAAGAACATAAAAATACACAATAAATAAAAATACCTGAGGATAAAAGCATGAGGTAACAACTTACCCGACGGCCCCATTGGCCAGCATCTGCGACTCCCTGTCCAGAATCTCGCGGACGTTCTTCTCCGAATACAAACCGATTGGTGTATTGAACTGCTTGTTGACCAACTTGGGCATTTGACTGGCCATTTTTCTTTTTCGTTTTCTTTTTCTTTGACTAACTTGATATTATCGTCTCTAATCTGCAACGAGAAAATAAAACGAAAAATCTAATATATATATACACACAAATATATATTTTTAATAATAGAGAACTAGACGAAACTCGTGAATCACACATATTTAATTTAGAATGGTATTTAAAAATAGTGCAGTTACTCATGGGTGACGGTCCTAGTCGACATACGAGATTGATTAACAACAACTAGAGGCGCAATAACATCTGCACAAATAATTAAAAATCGGATTATCGTGAAATTGCGTAAGCAAGGAGAAAAAAATATATACCTAAGTTCTATTAAAATCGCGACGGTCGTCGGATGTCACCTTTGCGCGATTTTTCGTTTTTGCCTGACACGTTATTTTCTAAAATAACTTGTGCACATTCTGCGATTATAAATAATGTCGTCGTGGCTAAAAACAAAACCACACGTAGGGGGGAGGGCATATAAATAATGCGTAATGTTCGCACGAAACGTTCTCTCCTTTTCTCCTCTCTTATCCAACGAATCTATCTATTTCTCTTTGCAAATTCAATCCTATTCATTCTATTTATTCCATTCCAAACAAATCCACTTATCCACGAAGTGTCGGCATCCAGAAAAATCTGGCTTTGTTTACGGTCGGCATCCTAAAGCGAAATAAATAGTTTATGCGAACACGAATAGCCACTTCTATTTTTTTTTTGTATGTGTGTGTTGTATGTTTCTTCTGTCCGCCCGCACGAGCAGATGTCCAATGCAAATATGAGGCTAATCCAAAAACTAGGTGACGTCCTTTGGCATCGGGTTTATAAATTTAAAACACACTTCACTGCACGTCCTTTATATTTTTGTCCCTTGTTTTTTTTTACTTCCACCTTCCCAAAACATCATATATTTTAACTAAATATATAAGTAACTAATTTTCGCAATCGCAAAAAACTATTTGTATTAAGCTTAAAATAGTATTATTTTTTTAGTATTTATGAAGTATCTGTGGGAATCAATGATTAAATTTAGGAATATATCAAAAATAAACTTTTTTTTCCATTAAAAAATTTCTAATAATAAGAATAATAATAATATTAATATCTAAATTAATCTATATTCTTATTTCATAAGTTAAAATGAAAGTTATAAAGTGCTTGTAATAATTTTATTTCTTTATAAATAATTTGTTGTTTGTACAATTTTCTTTCTATACTATTTATACATTTCTGGAACTATTGAAGAGATTTAATATAAAAATATAATTAATGAAAAAAAAATATAATTTCTTTTGGATTTAGTTATGTATAAAGTTTAGACCAGTATTTTAAAAGACCCCAGAAGAATGGAAATGTGTAGAAAAATATCCTGTCCTGTCTGTCATTAATTTTTGAGAAACCCTGGTTTAGACTATATTTTTAGATGTATATTATGATATATTACAAAAAACAAACAGTAAAAATACTTCAAAATTTATGTCGGCTTTATTATTTGTTTATTGAAATTTAATACTGTTGTACGTGGAAAAAAATATTTCACTTTGCTTCAAAATATATCCACATTATTCGCTTTTAGTTTCCTTTAAAATTTAACAAATTTTCGTCAGATATTTCGTCAAATATTGTATATTTCACTTTTAGGTTTATAATAAATATTTGAAAAGTGTATCTTTAGAGGGATACAATACAGAAAAAATTATTGGAATATGAAAAAAGTAGGTTCAAAATTTATTTTAGCTCTGCATTCTGATTATTAAAATTTAATATTGTACGTGGAAGAAAATATTTTTTTCTTAAATATTGAAGATATTCAGTAAAATAACAAATTTTCACTTTTGGGTTTCACTTCTCTTCTAAATTTAACAAGACTTTCACTTTTTTTTAAATTTCAACAAATTTTCGTAAAACATTTTTTTTTAATATATTTGTATTGAAGATACCCAAGAAGATATCCAATTTTCACTTTTGGGTTGGAATAATCATTTGAAACGTGTATTTATAGGCGGATGCATTGCATACAAAAATTATTTTAGATTTGTATTTTGTTTATTGAAATTTAAGGCATTTCATTTCACTTTAAAATTTAACAAATTTTCGTAAAATAAAAAATCTAAATTATCTAATTTTCACATTTGGGTTTAAAAAAATATATTAAAAAACTGTATTTTTAAATACATACAAATATAATTTTTTTGATATGGAAAACAAAAACTTTAATTTAAGAAAATATGAAATTGAATTGAAGTTTAAAATTTTAAGTTCATGTGTATTGTTAGATCATAATTAAAAGAAAAATTGTGAGACATTTTTTAATTAAATTTAGAATGATGATAATTGGCAAAATATCAAAATGTAACTTTTTGATTTAGACACAAAAATAATAAATTTTTGAAATTTAATATTATTGTATTAAAAGTGTATTTTTAGATGGATAAATTTCAACAACAAAAAAAAAATGTACGTGGAAACCCAAATATTTGGAATTCATGACTGACTAGACCGGATATAAATAGACTTTTGATCAATGAGTGCTCTTTGAAGTCCACTTGCAAAATTGAAGAAATTTTATGAAATTCGCTTAAAATAAGCTTTACACTTACTTAAGTATAATTAAAACTAAGGAAATTGATCTTTAAGTAAACGGTTATTAATGAATGAACGCGAAAAGTGTAAATTTTCGGGAAAGAGAAAAATCAAGTAAGGAAAACATTATTTTTGAAAATGTGCCAGTGGATAGAAATAAATGAGGATTATGGAAAGTGAAAAGTGCGTCGAGGAAGGAAAAAACTTCAACGAGAATTGCATGGAAAATTTAAGAAAAAGAATAAATCGTTACCTGATAATATTCGATGGGAATAATTCGACGCCGCTTTTCACAAATCGCAGTCAGAAACTGGCGTCGTTTATGCCAGGAACCGCTCAGTCCAGTTTCCACCGTCCCTCGTAGGTGTATTTTCACGTCACAGCCACACTGCTTTATTCTAATTCTGGTTGATATATTGTTATTAATATACACGCATTCACTGAAAACGGCGTACACAAAGTCAAGGAAAACGCAAATTCTGATTACGTCCTCTTTTTGTTTTTTTGTTTTTGGACGTTCTGGATCTTTCGAAATGCAATTTCAACACTAAAAAACTCGTGCGCGAATATTAATATCATATAATTAGAAAATTGTACCGCGATATGTGACGATCATCGTTTGAGCGCATCATTGGCAGATTTTCATAATTTGAATTTCGATGTTTGCCGCGCCACGAGCGGCAGACGATCTGTAATTTAAATGTGTAGTAACAACAACAGATGGCAGAATAATGCCAAAAGTGTTACGTGTTCTCGTTTGTACATCGCGTATTGCTGTACTTTTAACGGATGGATACATGTTGTCTCTCCTCTTCTACGTCGTCGTCGGTCGTGCGCTTCTTCGAAATCAAAGAACAACTAACACTCTCCAAATCCAATTACCTCATTTTTGTTGCACCATACGTGCGCATTTCATTTGGAAACTGGTAAATTAGGCTCAACTATTCTTTATTTTTTAAATTACTTGCGTTTCCGGTAATTCTGCTAATGAACAATCATAAATACAATAGTAATGTAATATGAAATATAAAACAGTTTATTTAATAATAAATAATGGAAGAAAAGTTTTGGTCTCTGGTTGCATACAATATTTAAATGAGCTCTTCGTCATTCGAACACTGCTGTTTTTATTTTACGATTGTTTCTTCACGTTATTAATAAGCAAGTACACGTAAATCCATATAAATAATAAAATATAACTAATAACTAAACAAATATTAATTACTATAAATTAATTTCCTTTATTGTTTTTTTGTAAGATAAATATTTGTTGTAATTGATAGATAATACTGCAATTCAATCAGCTAGAACTTTGTCCCGATACTAAAGATGGCGTTGCAATCTCAATTACTAATTATATATACCCTAATACCTTGAATAGTCTGTTTTTGATCAGAGAATCCGCACAATATTCCGGATTAAAATAAAAGAAAATAAAATATTAAACAAAATAAAAATTAATTTTAAAAATTGTACCCAAAATTAGGTTTTTATACATAATCAATTTTTTTTTGTGTGGTTTATTTGTTGCATGTATTTAGTCCCTCGATTAGTTCGGTTTCAAATAGTCCGGGATAATGGCGGAATTAATTACCCGGACTAATCGAGGTATTTGCTGTATAGTAGCGTTTCTCAACTTTCTTGCCGCGCGACCCAATATATATATAGTTAACTTTTAATTTTTGTCTAAAAATGTTGGTTTTATTTCTATTCAATAAAGTCTTGTTTTCTTTCTATTAACTCCATATTAACTCTAGTGCCTTAGATTACTCAAGCTTGTTTTTGGTTGTATTTTAAATCGAAGCCATAAGTTTACATTGTAAATCAGCTGATTCGCAGACGTACCTATTTTGACGTACTAGTTCAGTGTTGTCGTTGCTAAAAGAAATATCCATAGTAAGACATATCAAATAGGAAAAAAACGGGAAAGCAGAAGCACTATTTTTACGTTCTTCAATTACTTGTGCTGCATGTTCTTGAGGGTCGTCGTTGGTAAGGCCCTCACCAAAAACCTGCTGTAATAAGCAGGATATTAATATTTACATCTAAAACAAGCATTGATTCTGGGGAAACACAGCGCTACGTGTTAGAGAATAATCATATTATATACGAATTAATGAAATTCCGCGATTCTTTTAATCCGGGTAAATTTTGAGATTTTTTAAGGTTTTCAGCAAACTGCGTTACAGCAAAGCAGCGTTAATCGAGCTAGCGCTAAACGATGTCTTACAGTATCAATATTTCTGTCGTGAAATCTTCTATGGTGTCGTGCAAAATATATTTTTGTGTGAAGTTAGTTTAATTTATTATGTCTAGACTCTAGACATAAACTTGATATATGCAATACATATGATATAGCATGAATGCAATTTGTAATCAATTATAGTCCTCTGGCAAGTAATTATTAATTATTAAAGTAAGTAAGGTCTTCATTATCTTATAAAGTACACTTATTTAAGTACAATTTGTTAAAATATTTTTAATAATATAGTTTAAAATTAGGAAATATTTTTAATATAATTTCTAAAATTGCCTAATTTTGGATCACGTGCAGTTGTCTAAATTAAATTGTAAGAAAAACTGAGTACAAAGACCAATAAAGTTTCATTACACCTAAAAAAATAAAATGAACTTGTGTATTATTTTTTACTTAACGAAGTAATAATAATAATTCTATTGATTACTATATGTTCCATTTTGATTATAAAGTAATTAAAATCATAGTTAATTCAATTTAATTTATTTAGTATCATTTAAATTAACTGAAAATATACACTTTAAAACAAAAATTATTTTTTACCAAATTGAAAATGAAAATGTATTTTCTCAAATTAATTATAATTTAATTTAAAATTTATAATTCTATAGTATATATTGAAAAATGATGTGATTTGCACAAATTTATATAAGATTATGAAATTAATGAGTTTAGAACTGTCAGTATTTATATAAAAAAATATGAATTAATTTAATTTTAAGTATGATTTTTTAATAGTTTAAATCGCTATTTAAACAAATATATTCGAACAGTTTATAATAACTTCTTAATTTAAATAATATAAACAAAAAAATATAATTAAATTTTATTTTTATATTTATAAAATATTTACACAATTTTATTGGTTATAATTTCGACTAAAAAGAAAAAATATCATTTTCTTTCAAATCAATTTTTATTTTTCTATATACAGTAGAACCTCGCTTAACGAGCAAAATGAATTGTAAGAAAAATGACTCGCTTAACGAGCGACGTTTCGCAAATCGAGTGACGATGAGAAGAGAAGTCCCGGTTTGCGTGGCTGCTACATCATTTTTAAAACTTGTGTATACTATACCAGTATTTCACTACACGAGTAAAAATCCGAAAATTTTGGAACGGATGAAACTCGTTAAGCGAGGTTCCACTGTATTTCCAATATCAAAATGTGTTGATAATATTGTTTATATCATTTTTACATCCAACTACAAAGTTTTTCAATATTTTTCAATTTAAATGTTTTAATAATTTTATTTTATTTCTTCTATTATTTAATTTTAATATTGTTGAATTCATTAATAAATATTTTGATCCAAATATTTTTTTGATAAATATTACAGACCAAATAGCAAATTTATGAATTTAAACGCAATATCGATCTAATTTAAACTATCGCCAATATCAACAAATGATTTTCGGAAGTGCAAACTCGCGATAAAACTGTGCAAATCTTATGTTATGCTTGTAGGGTTACTTAAAACCTTATCACAGATGATAAACAAGACAAATAAACAATACAAATGTAAATAATTCACAATTAACTTAAACGATTTCATAGGAAGTCATAGGAAAAAAAAACTGTACAACAACGTAAAGAAAAGTTTTTTTTGGCAGATCGTATTGGAGTAAAGGTAAAATTTGGCATTCTTTCAATTTGTCTGCAACGGAATGCGGTTGTACTTTGTTTAGTTTCAAACTACAAAGTGTTTCTATTTCCATACATTACCATTTCCATAAAAAAATTGTAAAATATTTTTTTTTGTTAAAAAAACAATTTATTATTTCCAATATCAAATTGTTTTCATAATATTGTTTATTTTTGATCTTTTATTTTTCATTATTCTATTTTCATACTTTACCAATAATATTTGAAAAATATAATTTTCTTTATATTTTTACTAAAAATATCTTAAACACAAAGTCTTTCAATATTTATGCTTAATCATTTTTTTTAATCAATTATATTAACATTAGTAATATATAATGTTAATTAAAAACAAATTTAATGTTTTTTTATATAATTCTAATATCAAATTGTTTTAAAATAATAAGAAAATAAACATCTTCTCATTTTACTTTTATTAAGAAATATTCTTTTTCTGTAAAATATCTAATTACAAAGTGTTGCTCTATATGTAGAGAGTGTTTTATTTTTGTAAACTATCATTTTCGTTATAAATAAATATAAGAATATTTTGCTATTTATCCTACATAAAATTGTTATGTTTACTGTCTTTTCATTTTTACTATCTATTCATGACTTCTACAATAGAATTTCGAATGAGTTTTTATTGTAGTCATTAAAACGTGGTTTATTATCTGACGTTACTATTTGCCAGACGTGCATTTAATTGGTGCCCGGAATGCGAACCTTCCAATCACGGTTTTCCATCATCCAGGAAAAGAGAGACGACACACACACCACACACACATTTCGCCCACGGACTCCTCCTGATAACAGAATCGTTGTGCCGCTGCTGCTGCCCGCTATTGCTAATAGGAAACAAGTTATCAGTTTCAAACTTGGTTGGCAGTTGCACGCAACACTCTAGGAATGATGAAGTGCACAATTTTAATGAGTTTGATTTTAATGTTTCTGGCTGCCGCTGCCGATGGGAAGCGTAAGCGGCCCGAGGACAAGGTGAAATGCCCCAAAGTGAAGTCGCTGAGGAATTTCGATTTGCAACAGGTATGCATTTATGTTTAGTTTTATTACCATCTTTTATGATCGCCTATAACGAGGTCATGGTCGGCATCGAGTTCATCATTAACATCGTCTCTTAGTTTTTAGGAAATTGGTACGTAATCCAGTACTACGCCAGTTCCGAGGAGGCTTTGGCTTATCGCTGCATGCAGGCCGAATTCACCATGTCCGTACCATTCATCGACGTTACCATGAACTTCACCTACAGCTTCACCGATGATCCTCTGAACGAGCAACTGTTAGGTAACATCACCTGGTCTATCCCGAATCCGGCGCAACCCGCGCACTGGTCGCACTCCGAAGATACATGTAAGATACACACAACTATTCTCTTAATGAAATAATAATAAATTGTACTTTTAGATGAAGGCATCTATAACACCTATGTCGTTGATACCGATTACTCCTCTTGGGCTCTCCTCTTACATTGCGCCGAAAAATCGAAGAGTCCCAGATACTTATCCAGCTTCATCATGAGTCGTTTACCCATACTAGGTGTAAACGTGATATCCTATCTTCGAGATAAATTGCCCAGATACGATATTGATGTTAGGTATATGTTCGATATGTCTCAGAACGAGTGCGACGTCCCGCAGGCCGGTATTGAAATTCCGCCGTCTTTGCTTGGAAGTAGAGTGCAAGCTACCAGCAGGAAGCATCCCATGAAACACGATCACGGAAAATAATGAAATAAATAATTTGAGCTTAATCTAACCGGATGTAAATATGTTTATTATATAACTTTATACTTTTTATATTGCTTTATACGTACGTTTAACACTTCATAGGAAGTTACATTGATAATAATAAATGCTTTAATAAACAAATCAACAAATTTTGTTTATTTATAATAATAATAATATCATTTATTCCCGGCCTTTGATAGCCCCAATTATTTGCTAAGAATTATTATTTTTTGGTTATATAATTTATATTTTTTTTTGTATATATAAGAATTTATTCTAATAGTTTTCTATATTTCCATATATTTCTGAAACTTTGACAACTACAAACTTCTCCAATTATTTTATAGATTAATGTTATTTCTTTATTTTTACATTTACTTTATAACATATATTACCAAATTTAATGAAGTCAATGTTTACAATTACTTTTTCAAAAAGTGTATCGTTCATTTTAGTTCAGAAATATTTTCTTTTTTTTAGCAATCTATTATAAATAATTAACTATGGTAAATGTATTTGAAATGTGAATAAAAATAATTTTTTTTTTAATTTGAAATTGTAAATTAGATTATATTATAATAATATATTTAGATGTGTTTTGGCTTATAATAATGTTTTCAAATTTCAACTTGTCTACAAAATCGGTTTTCGCATTTTCCCAAAAATGTAGAGACAATCCAAATTAAATATTATTTCAATTTTGAAGTTCTAGCTTAATATATTAGAGAAAAGTTGCTGAATGTGAACTTACTTAGTTTTTCTTTAAATATTCCCTTTATATAATTAAAAATAATATATTCAAGTGTTCCAAATTAGGCAACACGTATCTACATACTAAGATATAATAATATATATTGGGTTTTTCGGAAAATAATTTCGCATTTTTCCATTACTATAGTTAGCTTTATTTTTAACGAGCCAACTTATTTCTAAGCAATGTTGTCATTATATAATTATAGTTTGACAAATTTTATTTATAAAAAAAAACTAATTCTATGCTTCTTTTGCTGTTGTATTAAAAACGAAAAAAAGGGCATAGTTTGATTTTTTAATTGCAATAAAAGTAAGAAACGTGTTTACAGATCGCTAGTGCCAAAAGTGGTTTTGTATTGTATTTTGGTATTAAAGATGCACTACGTTCTGGAAGGCCACAACATTTAATTTATTTGAAAACAAACGTTTTTTTACGTTTTCGTTTTCACTTTTTAAATACTCCATAGAAATATTTCTTTTATGAATTTATAAGTTGAATGTATTTTGGCCAAGACAAAAACAAAATAAAAAGCATGGAGCGGAACGATTTCCCATCGGAAATCTTCCAATAAACATGAAAATAACAACCCAACTAAAAATTGATTTTGACGACACTGAAACTTTAAACAATAAAATTAACTTTTATTTTCTAAAGGGGAGGTCGAAAGTGTTGTGTCTTTTTAGTCTGTGGGGGATGTCACTATTGTCTAGGAGGGATAACGCGAGACTGTTGGGGTGGTTTTCCAGTCTGTTTTGGTAACGGGCACTGAATATTGGGATTTCACTCTTAACAGTGTTCATGTGGAGGTCGTTGTGTATCGTGTCGTTTGTCACGTACCAGGGAGCCTGCTCCAGGGTTCGCAGGCACTTGGACTGGAAGCGTTGCAGGATCTCTATGTTGGAATTGCTGGCTGTTCCCCAAAGCTGGATGCCGTACGTCCACACTGGCTTCAGCACTGTTTTGTATATCAATAGTTTATTTTCGAGGGATAGTTGTGATCTTCTTCCGATCAGCCAGTACAACTTCCCGAACTTAATGCCCAGTTGCTTTCTCTTCGTTGAAAACCAAATTATATAGAAAAATAATTTTCTTAATCCGTTGCTTTCTATTGTCCACATTTTTTAAATTTCATTCTTTTTTTGTTTGTAAATTATGTATGTAATTTTAACGATTATTATAAGAATTTACAAACATATTTTTAAATTGTATGTATTTTTAGAAGTTTTAGTTCCAAACAGATTAGTGTTTAATAATAAAAAATAAAATACAGTTATATTATTTTTTCTCTCTCTATTCTTTAAACATATTATATATTCCATAAAAGGACGAAAAACCCGACTTACAAATAAAGTAATTATTATTATACATATCTATAATCAGGGTAATATTAATTACTTAGAATGTGACATTTTGTCAAAAGGTATTTTAAGTTTAATGACTCTTATCTTACGCACGTATTTATTATTACAAATTTTCGGCGTCGAACCGATCGCTGCGTGGTATTTTAACGATTTTATTTAACATACTTGAAATTGTTGTCGATTCATATCTGGGACAGACCGTGTCTAGTTATGAAAGGCGAGGCGAGGAGCAAATTGGACTCACTTATCAAAGGAATTTTTTATTAATTTTTATACATTTCGAATACTTCGTGCGAGAATGTCGAAACATTTCGACTGGTTCATTCAAGTGCATGCAGTAAATGCACTCTTATATATAATTAACGTATAATTATTATTTTTTTAAAAGTGATTTATGTTTACTGAATATAATTATAATAGTTAAAAATGAAAGACGATTTTTCCAGTTTTAGATACAAAATACATAATTTTTATTGAAATTTCATTACTAATTTTATATTTCAAATAATTACTCATTTGATTACTTGTGATTGATTGATTACTCATTTAAAATTTTGCCTCTGGTTTTCATAATATATTTTGTTCGAAAATAGATTTTCTCAAACGAATAAATGTAACTTTTTTGTTATTTTTTTTATAATATTAATTACTAATTTATAAAGACAATATGAATCTTCTCTTTTTGTTTAATAAATCTATTATTTATTTCAATAAAAAACTACTTATGCAACGTTTATAAAAAAAAATACAAATTTAAATTCACAGTCAATTTTCAATACAATTAACTTTAATTAATAGAAAACTGTGAAAGATAGTTTACGAATTCATTATTTCATTCGGTATTCTCAGATTAATATTTACAGGTGTCGATTATTTCTGGTTTAATTAACGAGCTCAGTGAATTTTGTATTTTTTATATTGCGTACTCGAATTTGCATAATTCCAATTTGAGGAGTATCTAATAATGGGATTCAGTAATTAGAACACGAAAATATTATTCTACAGTTATGTGCAGTTATAATAATTGGGATGTATGAAGAGTTAATAGCTGGATTAATAATCTTGAACAAATGAACATAAATGTGTTACAAAACCAACGCAATTAATAGTTTTTTGATTTAAAACATGTTTTATTCAATGATTTTAATATTTTTTTGTTTGTATTTAATAGACTCATTTATTTTAAAGTATATTTACATTCACAATGAATTTATTCTTAATTAAATTAATTAATAACGTCTATAATGAAACAAAATCGTTACTAAAGACTTGATTCCAACTTAAACTCTAGAAATGTCATTACTAATTTCCTATAATAAAATGTTCATTTAACACTTGGTCAAGGCTTTCATAATGAATCTTGATCGAAAATAGAATTGTTGTAAACTTATTGCTTATTTAGTAAATATACATTTTCATAGCAAAAAAAACATATGTTCAATATCAAAAAAATATAAACTCAATAAGTTTATTATTAATTAAGTTCGTACTAAATAAATAAAGGATTTGTGCCAAATAAATTTCTTATTTTTTTATTTAAACATGAATGTTCATGAAAAACTTGTTTTCATAATATATCTTGTTCTAACATCGAATTCGTCATAAGAATGAGTGCAAATTGATTGCTTATTTAGCAATTTAATTATAAAAATTGTTATAAAAAAATTATGATAGAAATACATATTTTTTTGAAAAGCAATTAAGAAATAATAGTGGTTTTTCTATAGATTTTTCTATTGTAAATTATTCAAAATATATAATAAATGAATTAGAAAATTTCTTATAGAAAATATGAAAGAAATACATTTTTTTAAAACATTTAAGAAATAATTATAAATTATTAAAAATATGTAATTAATATAATAAATAAATTAGAGAACTCTCTCGCCTTGCATCTCTTGCCTTTGCATCTGTATTGTTTTTGTATTGATTTTTTATTTGTAAACCGAAGTAACATACTTGTTTCTATATTGTATATTTATAAATTAAACAACCTTATTTCAATGAATACATTTTTAATATTTGCTTAATCTTTACTTAATTCAAATAAGACTATTCCTAGCTATAAAGAATTTTTTAATGTTTTCACTGTTTAATGTAATCTTGTTTTAATGAACAAGGTTTTTGCTCATTATCTAGAAATGCATGTGTATAATTTCAATAAATTTATAAAAAAAGCCAAATTTATTTAATCGAAGAGCAATATAAGTGAATAATTCAAATTTGATTAATTAAAAAACCGCATGATTTTGTTTATATGACCGTTTCTCAATTTTTTTATAATGTTTTGAAACAAGGTGACATCTATAATTTCGCAATACTTAAAAAAAAATAACGTTACTTAAAAGATTTAGATCAGCTAATCTATATTATTGAAATAATGGTCTAAAAATATATAATATAAAGAATGTACATTAGATAATAATAGTATAATTGAATGGGAATTGTGTTGATGTGTATTTTGCTTCCGAATGGCTTAAGTTAAGTTAATGGTAAATACGTGACAAAAGTATGGTGAATTGAGGGGTATTTAAAAGTATATTAAAATTTAATTGTCATTAAACGCGTGCAAGGTCTACTTCCCAGGATATTATAAATCACGTAAGTCCCGGAGCGGCTTTATTTTTATTTGACGTACGTGACATTCGGTCCACTTTAGTTTTTAACGATTTGCGCTAGAATGTTTCTAATTACAATTACGTTTAAATCATTTTAAGGAAATCGATATATTATTTGATTAAATAAGTATATTCTGATAACTACAATTTATAATTCAAAAACACAAATTATAATTAATAAAGTTTGTACAACAAAAATATTGTTTATTTATTTATATATTTTATAAAGATAAATTGAAGTTTTCCTTTTAATTTATAGAGACATATTTTGTACTTTTTGAAACATTTATGAAAAAAAAAAAATTATTTACAGAAACAAAAATGAATAGGA